TGTTCATGCTTGTGCATCTGTTCATCTATGTTAGTGCAATGGTATGTGATTCATATAAGTTGCTTCGTGACATTGAATGAAATAAAATTATAATATACACAAAATGAGCATAACACATAGATTCAAAACTTAAAAAACTGAAAAATTTTGTTTGCATGGTTATAGTTGTAGAATTAAGAGACATAAAATAAGCATAAACTAAAGCTCACTTGAAATATAATCAATAAGATTTTTAAATAACTATTTAAAATAGAGAATAATAAAACAAAATTTTTAAATTGGATATAAACAAATAAATGTCGGAAGTTCAATTAGAAACACAAGAACGTTCGCCGTCTAACTATCATCCATGAAGAAGAGATGATATTGTATGAATATTTTTCTAGTATGACATCTTATAAAAGACGCGGTAAAAGAATGGTGAAGAAATGCAGATTATTTGGTTTTTGTAATGGTGAAAAAGAAAAAAAGAAGATGATAGAGAAAAAGGAAGTGTCAAGGAAAAGAAAAAAATCAGAGATGTGGAATAATAGAAACGGTTGAGAAGGAAAGGAGAGAAACTCATGAGGGCCTAAAATATAGGAAAGTGATTACTACTACCTCCATCCCATTTTATGTGTCTTCTTTGGTTTTGGCACAATTTTTAATAAAGTGGTTAAAAAGGTAAAACTTGTGGTTGAGATTTGGTTATAGTAAAGTGAAATGTTGTGAACCACATATTTCTTTCTAAAGAGGGAAAGTGGACACTTATTTTGAGACAGCCCAAAAAGGAAAGTAAGACAGGTAAACTGGGACGGAGGGAGTATTAGAATCGAGAATGGAAAGAATTTTGAAAGTACACGTTTAGCCTTGTACGCAATAAGCAATTAATTCTCTTAATATTGCAATCCAATGACTTAGAATGATTCTTTTTTCTCTCCCTAGATCTTATTCTCACTTAATCTCTATTTTATATATATATATATATATATATATATATATATATATATATATATATATATATATATATATATATATATAGAGGGAGAACCTTTTCTCCATACAATTTTCCGCTTCTCTCTCCTAAACCATTTAATAGTCGGTCTCTCACATAATCAGTTACTCTATTTCTTCCTTTTACTCATCCGTTTCAACGGATGTTGCGCACCCAAAAACGGTTCATTAACTTTCAAATGTTGTAAAAGATCACTAACCTTTCATTATCATGCCTAAACCATGAACTATAATCATCTATTTGCAACCCCTTAATTTAAGTGATTATGACTTTTTTTTTAAGAAAAAAAGCACTTATTTTACCAAACACTACCAACTTTTACTTTCTCGGTTTTCGTGTAGAATCTACTTTTTACTTATTCTATTACACAAAAAACACTTATTTTACCAAACACTACCAACTTTTACTATTAATTACTTTTTCCCAAAAAGTGCTTTTATTTAAGCATAAACACTTGCAAACAAAGCCTAACACTGCAAAGGTTTGAATAAGCTGGCTAATTAAAAAAGTTTCTCCATCTAGAAGGTTCAATTCATGCTTATCTTATTTAGTTTAACCTTATTGTCCGATGATTTAGATCAGATTCATCACACCGACCTTTCATTTCCTCACCTTGTATGTCCTTTGGCCTGCGGTTTCTACTCCTTCCATCATTGTCTTCCACTCCACCGCCCCTCTCTTTATTCATAGGAGTGTTTAATTGGAGACTCAAGTTCAGTTTCTTATCAAGCAAAGGATGAAATAGATGTTGAGGAAGCTTCAATTTATTGGTCTTAAAATGTTAACTTAGAGGCACAATCAAGATGTGGATCCGATGCTTTCCAGATTGTGGTTCAATTTGGCCAAGAACCTTCTTTCTTGAGAAGATGGAGGAAAATAATGTCTCACGTGGCGTTTCCTATTAAAGTTAAGATTTCGATTCAAATTTATATTCCTTAAATAGGACTAAAAAGTGGCAAAATTGCACAAATAAGACTACATTTTTTAAATTCCCTTAATAGAACTATTTATGTGTGTTTGGACAAATATACCATTGTAACTTGTGAAATGTTTTAATTAATAATAAAATCATAAAAAATTAATAAAAATCCAAAAATATACTAAAAAATCGTAAAAAAAAACAGAAAATTAATAAAAATATTTTTTAAAAAATTAATAAAAATATTTTTTAAAAAAATAAAAAAAATATTTTAAAAAAAAATAAAAATAAAATAAAAAGAAAATCATAAAATTAAAATAAAAAACATTACCACCTCTGTCACCCCTAGCACCACCAGCTCCCATCACCGGAGAAAAATATGCCAACATTTTAAATAATGCCATAATGATGGCATATTCAATGAAAATGTTGGCATATTGAAGAGTAATTATGCCATCTTTTTGGCATTTTCAGAAAAAATATGGCATTTTTTACCAAAAGCGGAAGAAATTTCACCAATCAGAGGTGGTGGTGCTAGGTGGCGGCGGGAGGCGGTGGGAAAGGCATCCATAATTTTTTCATTTTTATGGGTTTTTACTATTTTTATTATTTTTTTTTTAAAAAAATAAAAAATTAAATTTTTTATTTTATAAATGTTTTATAAATTTTTTATAATTTTTTTTTACGTTTTTAAAATATTTTTTTCGTTTTTTATGATTTTATTATGAATTAAAGCATTTCATTATGAATTAATACTCTTAAGGGTATTTAGGGTAGAAAATCAATGTTTAGTCCTATTTATGGAATTTTAAAAGTAATAGTCCTATTTGTGCTTTTTAGGAATTCATTAGTCCTATTTAGGACGATTTCCGATTCTTATATTATACACTAGGGATGTTATCAATGAAATAACGGAAAGTTCCCGAAATAGGACTAAAACAGTTTGATAATTCCAAAATAGGACTGACATGTTTTTTATTTCCAAAATAGGAGTAATTACTGTCAAATTTGGAAAAAATGTCATGTTTGATGTCTGGTACTGCCAAAACATGACAGTAATTAGTCCTATTTTGAGAATAAAAATATGGCAGTCCTATTTTAGAATTTTCAAACCTTTTTAGTCCTATTTGAGGTAATATCTCATTACATTTTTGTTTTAAATTTTGTCTACGAGTAGGCATAACTATTTTTTGCCAAGTCTTTTATTCCACTTTTAAATTTTATTAACCATTCTTATCAAAGAGATACGAACCATAATAGAGTAACAATGCAATTAATAAAATCTTATTATTAATACTTACTAAAAAAGCATGCCCGGGAAAATGTTATTCTGTTAAAAAGTAAAAATGAACAGAAACACAATTTCATCTCTAATATACAATATACAAATAGTATTAACACACTAATATTTCTTTACGCTATAACAAAAGAAAAGCTGAAGATTTAGTGTCGTAATTTTAGGATGTGTCCGTAACTTTATTCATTTGCAAATTTGTTCTTATAATTAAAAAATTTTTCCGCATTAAGAACTTATACACCGGTAAGTACACTTTCCAGTGAAAATTATGACACGAGTGACGTTTTTCTTATAGGACTTCTATCGGAAATTGTACTTTCCGGCGGAAAATCTTTTATATAGAAAATTTTATTATTTACATGACGAAATATATATGAGTATTGAGTATATATGGCTACCAGGATAATAAGGAACATGTCTATTTAAAAGCCCATATATTATTTTTATACATGAAGATATAGTAATTTTTTAAACTTTTTGTTTTGTATGAACTATTTTTTTTAAGGTTCAAATTGTGAGTTGGAAAAATTGAATTTCATTCGTTCAAATTAATATGGTGGCTTTTGGAGTGAAGATTTATTCAAGTCAAGTTTGTGATATGTAAGGCTACCTGCAAACCTGGGGCGAAAAAATCATATTTGAGCTTTTGTCATCTACCTGCAAACGAGAGCACCTTTGGAGTGGGTTTTCACATGCATATTGAGAGAGAAATGAGCTTCATTTGGCTGTGGCAACATGACATAAAGTTTGGGGACATGTGAAAGTAAATTAAAACCCCATTTTTAAAGGATTATAACTCTTTCATTTGTACTCCAATTTTTACAAAAAAAATATATCAAAATTCATAATTTTTTATTATCTTTCATATGACATCAATATAAAATATGAAAAATAAAAATATGAAGATTAAACTGCCGAAGGTATCAGACCAAAAAAATCTTATGTAAATTCAACTGCTAAAATTTAGATCTCATGGTTAAAATATTATTTTTTTCCATAATATGTAAGTATTGGTTAAAATATTATTCATACATCTTTCGGTTGTTATTTGTTTCAAAGATGGATCTAAAATAACAAAAAACAAAATTCTAAATTTATTTATTTTACATCAAAATATCTGACTTTTATTGATCATAATTATTCCGGAAAAATAATTGGAAAAACAATTAAGTATAATAATAAAAGTAAAGCTTTAATTAAAGAAATTAAACTTGGTTGGGTGAATATATTGATGATGATGGATTACACTACAAATTGAATTGACTGGGTGAATACCTATAAACTGGTGGAAATTTTGATTTATTGACAGGGATGTGTTACAGTTAGCCTAATTAGGGGCACCTGGATCCATCCATTGATTGGGTGGGACTGAGTAGTACTCGAGCGTTGCCGATTCATTCCTTGGTCTCTTTTCCAGGCAGTCCGTTTTTACTTTTTCAAAATATGATTCAAGTAGGGGCGGAGCCGGGGCACTGAGTCGATACAAAGAATATTTTTGAATAAAAATTTTCACATGATTTTTTACACTATAAATATAGACATTTTTTAAATTTGAGTTGAGCCGGGACCATGGTTGCCCCCTAGCTACTGATATAAAACTTATTTACATAATATAGCTAATAGTGACTAGCCATAGTATAGTTTCATAGTCACTTAAGTGTAAAAAATTAACATAAGTTACCGTGACTAAGTTACTATTATAATCACCACACTTAGAAGGTAACATTTTTGTAAGATACATCTATTTTAGTCATATATATGTAATTATTTCAATTATTTCTATGAATAATATATCTACTTGCAATAGTACATTTATGATATATTTAAAGACTTTATTTAGTACAAGTGCTAAAATTCAAAGCCAACGTAATTTTTTACAATATTTGTTGAATAAATGACCAAAGTAAGACTCCGAGCTATTCATTAGACAAATGTAGGACCATTTTTTGTGTAGGGCAAAAAAGGGACTGAAATAACCTGAACTGCCTAAAATACCCTAATATTCTAATTTTCCTTCGCTGCTTCTTCCCGTCGATCTAGTCATCTGGAGCGCCTTTCTTCCCATCGATGGAGCAACGTCTGAAGTCTTCAGCGAGGAGGCCATCGATCTCCAACGTCACAACGATCTCCATGGCGAGTAACGTGCGACGGCCAGCGAAGGGGGTACGGCCAGCGGCAAGCGAGCTATGGCGAGTGACGATGACGTGCGACGGCCATCGACGAGCAACCTCAAAATCGGATTTCGAATTGTCTTCTTCGCCTACATCTTCTTCCTCTTCTCCGATTTTGAATCGTCTTCTTCGCCTACACCCTCTTCCTCTTCTCCGATTTTCATTTTTCAGATTTGGGCGGGTAAGGCTCCATGTTTCGTGGTGCATTGTGCGGAATATTGACGGACTGGTGGGGTAGCGACGAGTCTGGGGCAGGAGTGGAGCAGGGGCCTAGGTCCGGGGAGGCGGGCTGTGGCTGTGGCTGGGGCTGGGTAAGGGAGGCGGGAGGTGTGCTGGAGAGGAGGGCTGTTAGCCTGTTACTGGGGTGGGGGCAGGGGATTGGCAGCTTGTTTCGGGGCATAGGTAGTGGCCGGAGGTGTTGATCGACGGCGGTAGACGGAGGTGGTGGTGGCCGGAGTTGGCTGGAGGCGGTGGTCACCGAAATTGGCTGGAGGTGGTGCTAGTTGGCAGTAGATGGTTGTGGTGGTTGCCAAAGGTGATGGCGCAAGTGGTCATTGTAAATTGTTGGACCGGGTGAATTTAATTGGTCTCGTATAACTATAATTATAACTCATCAAATTGGCCAATTGTAACTGGCGGGTTGGGTAATTATAATTGACAGATCACGTAACTGTAACTAGTGGGTCAAGTCACTATTGGTCACTGAACAGGCCGTCGTTGGTCACTGGACGGACGGACTTTGGTCACTGCACGGGCAGATGTTGATCACTAGACGGGCGGAAATTGGTAACTGTAACGATTTTTGGTCACTGGTGAATTTTGGATTTTTTGTCACTAATGATTTTTTGTCACTGACGAATTTTGGTCACTGGTGAATTTTGGATTTTTGGTCACTAATGATTTTTGGTCACTGGACGTTGGTAACTGGACGGACGAACGTTGGTCACTGGTCGAGGTTGATTACTTGACGACATTTTGCTGCTTAAGAGCACCCCATAGTAAGAAATTAATTAAAAGATTATGACAGTTCAAATAATCTAAAACCACTGAAGTTACAGGTAAAGCCTCATTCTTTCTCGAGCAAAATCACAAGTTCGTAATTCTAAGATATGGACAACATAAAGTAACATAATCAGAAATGGAAGTAATATATAATATACTCCTTACAAATAAATTGCTATTCATTTCTTATGCATAACAAAAACTTTTAACAAACTTGCTACACGATAATCACAGATACCGATTATAAGCAAGATTCATGATAGCATTATTTGATAATCCTTCTCTGCATATGTATTAATTGTAAAAATGATAAGCAGGATTCATGTATCAAATAAGAACTATTTGATAATCCTTCTCTTCTGATTAGATACGCACTCTGGTCATTTTCCTCAAGTTAAATATCTTTTTAGTTATGCACATGTCTGCAAGAAAGTAGTTCTCCATGTCTCTTCATTATCATTCAAATTTTATTTGAAACATGCTGATATAAATCTTCTTAGAAAAACTTTCCTCATGTGCAATGAGCTCCTACATATATTTGGTAGCCTTTATTGTTAATATCTAAGAATCATAGAATCCTTTGAACCAAAGAACATCAGACAATGGTTTAGCTAATCCATTAAATGATTTGTGTATATTTTAAGGACACTATACACTATTTTGAAAACCAAAGTACAAACTGTGGGAGAAAGTGTGAAGTTTTGTTCAGTAATGACGCATGATTTGCATCCGCTGCTGCTGCCAACTTCTCTGTGAATCCTTATGCTCACCTCGAGATTGAGAAAAAGGTAAAAGGGAAAAAGGAAAACTACAGACGTATTAGATGTGAATACCACAGACGATGCTCAAGATATCAAGGGTAAGGATGGATATACTGTTGCTTATCTCTCGATTCTAAAGGAGTGTTTGGGGTTGATTAAAAAAAGCGCTTTTTAGCTTTTGGCTTAAAAAAGCTGAAAAGGGTGTTTTCAAATGACAGCTACTGCCTCTCAGTCACTGGAGCTCGCCTTCATCATACCTGAGTGCTTACGAAAGAGGAGAAATGGAAGCACATGTTAGTTATACTTTTAAGGGAAGGGCCAAGGCAGCAGTAATCCACCCTTCATTTTTTCCCTTTAAATAATTATTAGTACTCTGTATTAATTAATATCTTATGTTTAGTTACGTTTTGGCACAATACAGTATTAGTATGAAATATATGTGCATACTGGAAAGGATGTGTGTTGTATGAGAGTTCCGGTTTCTATGTTATGATGAATAAAGGAATTTTCCAATTTCTGCAGTAAAAAAAAGAATTTTACACACCGTTTCTTTACATGTGGCCCTCAGTTCCATCTTTTTCATTCTCAAGACATTATGATTGCTCCTCTTTTTCAAATCCTCTTTTACTTTGTTGATAGTATTTGTCCTTGCTGATTTTATTGTTGCTAAAGGTTAGTGAATGTTTTTTTGTGCTAAAGTTCTAGCCTTCTCAGTGGCTATTACAGCATTAAAGTCAATTGATGTTGAAGGTGTGATAATTTGGAATATATGGAAGGAATATATGAGTGTTGTAGTAGACTAGTAGTATTGCCAAACTTTCCCCCACGAAAAGCTGGTTATTACTTTATGAACATAGTGGACATAAATAAAGTAACCTTTTAACTTAGGGAAATGAATATATATACTATGGTGTTGAGAGGTAAGGACAAATCACCTATTAAACCCATATTGAACTATTATTGAACTGTCATAGTTGGAAAGTTTTTTTTCAAACCAAACAGCATACAGTATTATTTAAAAAATCAAACTCCAAATCCGAGCACCCTTCTTTCCTTGCTGCTACGTCCAGTACGTGCAGCTAGAGGGAACACCATTGCTCCTACCCTATCTCCATGGAAAAAAGCTTGGAGGTAGTTCATGGCTGACTGCAGTTAAAAATGCCTTCAGGTCTCCAGTCAAGTAAACCATATTGTTATATTGTTTCCAGTCCTACTACTAGAAGAAGATCACAACACCATAATCAATCTCCGTCCCCTCCCTGCTACCAGAGAATAGCCTCACTTAACAGTGTACCCCACACTAGGCAACATCCTTCAACTCCTTCCCCCTGTAAGCCAAAACAGGCGCAAATCCGATTATCAAGCCCGCTGATACGCCTCGACAAAAGCTACTCAAGTTAATAAACAACCTCTTCCATCCTAGAAAGAAGCATACAAATTGAGGCAAAAAAAGGCCCTGAGTACGTAAGTGGAAGGGAAACATAGTGAAGCAGTTGAGGCGGCATATTACTCGTTAAAAAAAGGCAATAGTTCTGAAATCTTTCCATTTCCAAAGACATAAAAGCGTGGAAACAGAGATGAATATTTCATATAAAAATGCAATATTTCAGGCTTTACTGTGTTGCAATTCTGGTTTATTGAAATCATTCATATAAAAATGCTTATCACAGATCACCTTGTAAGTATAACCCACTCGTATAGTCACAGTAAAGCTGGAAGAAACTATTGCAAATTTTAAGGATGAAATCTAGCAACATAACTACTAAAAATGTCAAATTAAAACTTTGCAGCATCCTCCTCTATCTTTCGAAGTGATGTTGTTAGCACCGGTGTTGCGTATGAAGATCTAAAATCAGCAACAAACTCATTATTTCTATACTGCCTCAAAGCCTGCTCAAAATTATGCATAAATTCAAAAAAACTGCACTTTTTCCTAATATATGTCTTAATGATTGCGTTAATGGATTCACATTGTGATGTGGTCCGTAGACGACCAAAAAATTGATCCCGCAGATATGCAGTGGCCCACAAAGATCTATTATTGTAGGTTTTAGATACCCAGCTGTTCCCCACAAGGTCATGTCGCAAAACCATATTTTTCCAAAATTCCTCAAATCTCTCACGCGTAAAATTTGAATACATGGCTGTTTTGAAATCCGTTAGAAATGGAGAGATTTTCACATTCTCACAAGCATTCTTGTGCAAATGCCATGCACATAGCCTATGAAAAGCATTTGGAAATATCAGTTTTACAGCCTCTCTCATAGCGCCATCGCTGTCTGTCACAACTGCTTTTGGATGTTTGTTTCCCATCGCTTCCAGAAAAGATTCCAATACCCATGTATATGTTTCGGTTGTTTCATCTGAAACCAATGCACAACCAAATATAATTGTCTGTAAATGGTGATTACAACCCGAGAAAATAACAAGAGGATAGTTGTATTTGTTCTTCTTGTATGTCGTGTCAAAAGCAAGAACATCACCAAAACATGAAAAATCAAATCTGCTATCTCCATCTGCCCAGAAAAGGCGTTTCAGTCTACCATCACTAGAAGTTGAGAATTTGGCATACAACATGGGGTCATGGTTTGCTTTCCCTTGGAGATAGCTCAATGCAGCAACAACATCTCCATCTTTAATCTCACCTCGTACTTTGCTATCAAAATAGTTATACAAATCTTTTTTTGTAAAACCAACGTTGTTATATCCACCCTTTTGACCCACCATGTACCCCATTATATGGCAAGTTCTAATTCCATGTGAATGCAAACTATCAATTTGTGCTTTATCTGCATTTGTCATTCCACGGTAAGCGGGCAATAAATGCACAAATTTTAAAGGGGTCAATTCATGGTTATGAGCCTCTTCAAAACAAGTCACTATCCAGTTTGATGTTTTTAAATTGTAACGTACACTGAATCTTGCACGACAATTGGTCTGGGTGAGAGGCTTATGATCTCTTTTCCTATCTGTCCTTGCCAAATGTTTTGGGTTTCGTAGGCCTTGTCTATTACATACATAATGACGCGTGATCACATTTTTGTTACTGTTACGACCCACATTATGTTTTCTTACTACAAATCCATGGCATTTGGCATACTTGTTGTAAAATTGATAAGCATCCTCTTCATTATCAAACTGTAGTGCACATACCTCGTCTACTGTCAAGTCTGATATCCTTTTAAATTCACCTTCTTCAACACCCATTGTTGGACCTCCCTCATCACTAGAACAATTCTCATTGATAGCAGCACCATCTTTTTCATTACATGATGAAGATTCTCTTTCTTCATTGAAATTATCAGTTTGACTGTCACTTTCATTCATCTACAAAATCAATTTTACAACATGTTAAAAGAATTAGTAACTTTATACTATTATTGAAATTGCAAATATTGACAACAATGAAACAGGCAAAAACAATGAAACAATAACAATGATAAAATGATGGAACTCTAAAAGATAGCCCCTAACTTAAGGAAAATGTCCAGACCATGTATTTAATCAGAAGAGAAGGACTATCAATTATGCTATCATGAATCCTGCTCATAATATTTCCAATCGATACATATGCATAGAGCTGGTTTTAAATAATACTAATTGTGTATAAACACACAAACCCAAAATATCATTATGATGTTGTACTTTGTGTTAATGTTGTTTCCGAATTCGCTCCTTTAAATATGTTGCTTCTCTCGAAACAAGAGACAGTTTTACAGTTTAATAAAAATGTGTTGTATTTTGAACAATTTTTTGTCAAATTCAAATTCGTTTATTGGCATCTATAGTATAATTTC